CTTTCCCTCTCACTCACTCTCTGATTTAATTAAAAATGTATCTCCTCCCACCCTTTATTTTCATAATTTCCTTTCCCATTTCTTCTGTGCATGTCTCCTCATATTTATTTAACTGTGCCTCTTTTTGTTGTGGGATTCTGGGATCTCCCAATGAACATGTTCTATCTAAATGTTACTTCTTCCTGACCACACCAGGCTGAGAAGGGCAGAACTTAACTCCTCTATAAGCCCACCAAGGCACAAACAAGGACAAAGTGAAACTAACTATTCCAGTCAACTGCACTCTGCTGGTCCTGCTGGGAAGTGTAATGCAAGATAAGGGGTGTGATGTGGAAGACAAGGCAAACTTGCTCAGCTTTCCTCTGCACCCCAAATTCTAAAGCATCCATCCAAAACCCTTTGTGCCTCTCTTTCTCCTGTTTATATTCTGTAGCAGAAGCAGCAAACAGATTCCAGTCGATTTCATTCTGGTGCTTCTGGACAGCAAAAGTACAGATGTGAAGCTCCTGTGGGGTATTCTTGTCCCAGAATAATTTTTAAAATGTAAGCTAAGGAAAAATAGGAACACAAAGTCCAGAAACCCTACTCTTAACACAACAGAACCATACTGTACACTAGCACAAACCTCTGAGGTCAAATATTGATATTCTTTACCTTCTAAAAAATTGTGTCATTTTATGAAGTTTTTAAAATCATCATCCATAAATCTTTAAAACTGTGGTACCAACCAGTTGCTCACGATTGACTTGTCGATTGTGGGGGCTCTGCCAGACAATGGCGAGGCAGTATTCCCAGCGCCCTCCACCCCAAATGAGGAGACTGAGATGGTACTACAGCCTCCTGCAAAAATAGTTAGCTCCGGCTTCCTGCGGCATGGGGGGTGGGGTTGGGGGAAGTCCTGCGGCTCCATGCCAGATCCAGAGCCGGATCTGGTGTGGAGCCTCAGGACTTCTCTGCCATGCCGCAGAAAGGAAGGCAGCACAAGGAAAGAAGGGAAAACAAGAAAGTGTCAGGACTTCTCTGCCATGCCGCAGAAAGGAAGGCAGCACGAGGAAAGAAGGGAAGACGAGAAAGTGCGCACTCCTCCCCCACTCACAACAGTGAACGCACAAGCTTTCTTGTCTTCCCTTCCTTCCACGTGCTCCAGGAAGGCAGGGAGGAGGGTGGGGCGTGTAGTTAAGATGGTGGCACATGATCTGGAACAGCTGGATTTCTTAAAGGAGCCTCACTTGGGCTTCTTCCAGCGCTGCCAGCAGATCCTGCCCCAGAGAGTCTCATCCCTGGAGACTCCCAGGTACCAGCCGAGCTGCTCCTGCCCCCTCTCCCTTGGCCAGACCCCCGCCAGTACCCTGCCCACACCCCCACCAGTACCCTAGCCCCTGACCCCAGGCCAGACACTCACCAGGATCCTGCTGCTGCTCCCTGGCAAGATCCCCAACCAGCACCTGCCCCCTTCCATTGGCCAGACCCCCACCAGAACCCTGTCACTTGCCCCCTGGCCAGACTCCCACCAGCACCTGGCCTCTGGTTTCAAGCCAGACACCCACCTGGACCCTGATGCTGCTCTCTGGCCAAACCCGCACCAGCACCCTGCTCCTGCCCTCTGGTCAGGCCCCCCACTAAGCTCCTGTCACCAGGCCAGACCCTGGCCACCAACACCATGGCCCCAGGCCAGACCCCCACCAGAATCCCGCTGCTGCTCCCTAGACAGACTCCCACCACCATCCTGTCCTGCCCAGACACCTACCCTCAGCTTGCTCCTGTACCCTACTTTTCACATTCTGCACCCTCATCCCTATACCACTCACTGGCAGCCCGGTCTCGCACACTGGCTCCCTCATTTTTGGCCCCACCTCAGAGCCTGGGGACAAAAATCCACTAACCCTGCAACCCACAGAAGGGTTAATCTGGCCTGAGGCCTTGAACCTCAGTCCGACCTACCCTCTCTCACCATGGGGCAGAAGTGACAGGGGAGTGAGGTGTCTCAGCTGGGGCCACATCAGTGAGGCTTGGGGGATTTTTGGAGGGGTTGTTTTTTTGCATCTCGCTTGTGTGGTCCCCAGCTGATTTTTCTGTGGGTCAATGGCCCCTTACCCAAAACAAGTTCCCCGTTCCTCCCATAAATAAAGACAATGCTGAAATGTTTTGTGTTGGACATAGTATTTTATTTAAAAATGAAGCCTGGCCAACAAGTCCCCAATTGGGGCCAAGCCCCCATCTGACCACACATCATAGCACTCCTGAACCACCCACATACCCAAATCCATCATACACCTGAACCCCCTGCCCAGAGCCCCTCACATCCCCAAATTCCTGCACCACCCACATCCCCAGTTTTGTGCCACAACACTCCTGCACCATCCACACACAACAAACCTATGCCCTGAGCCCATTATACACCTAATCCAGGGGTGGCCAATTCATTTAACAAAGAGAGCCGCGGAAAAAATGCGAAGTCTCACAGAATTATCAAGCAAAAAAGAAAAAAAAAAAGAGGCCGCCCCTTTAAGGAGCAAGCAATCTTAGGCTTTCTGGCATATTAGGCTCCTGTCGATGGTCGCCATCTTGAATCACCAACCTGGTGATCACAGGAAAGCTGGGGAGGAGGTACTAGGGGCCATTTGGGGTGGGCTAAGAGCAGCTTCATGAGTCACACTTTTGGGGGAGGGAGAGCCGCGGGCTGGCCACAGCTGACCTAATCCCCCCTGCCCTGAGCCCCTCATATACTCCAACCCAAACTCCTGCACCCCCACATCCACAAGCCCGTGGCTTGCTCCAGCACCCTGACCCTCCACCTGACTACAACACTCTCCAGCCTGGAGTCCCCTCTCTGAGCCAGCATCCCCTTCTCCACCTCCTCCTGCGCCCAAATTCCCTCCCAGGGCTTGCACCTCTCACCCCTTCCCACACACCCAAATCCCTTATTCCCACCCCAAGCCCGCATCTCATGTCTCAACCCAGTGAGAGTGAGTAAGGGTTGGGGACAACAAATGGTGAAGAGGAAGGGAAAGGAGAGGATGGGGTCTTAGGGAAGGGATGGGGTACATCTTGGCTTGCCCTGCCATTTAAAAAGTGATCATGGGTGTAAAAAGGTTGGAGACCACTGCTTTAAAAGATTCGGTACCAGCAGTATAATACATTCTACAATGCCACATCAAGTAGGTATTTCACAACCCACAGTAAATTCTGAACAAGAATGTGTGTTACACTCATTTGCTAATATTATGTTCCTCTTATCCAGGTTCTATGTCATATTCTGCATATACTTCTAATAATAATTATTTTTCTCCTTCATTTTTCTCCTTCATTTACAAATAATTTTTAACGGCAAGTCACCTCCTGCCAACACAAAATATCACAACAGAAGCAAGACCCCACTTCATAGTTTAATAGCCAGAAAGAGTTTTAAAATACCTAATATGGAGGAAGGATACACAAGGGGATCCAGCAATTTTAATCAGTCTTGGCCTGTGAAATGCACACACCACTGAGCTGTCTTTGCTACTTTCTGGCAACCACAAAAAAGTTATACTAATGTTTACATTTTTATAGCCATCTGCAAATCCAGCAAATGATAAAGTCAAGATAGGTTTGCTTCTTTAGCAGATACCAATAACAGACACAAACATGTTTACAGTCAACAGAGAAAAGTTATAGGTGCAAGAAAAAGAGAGTAGAGCAAGACTTAAATGATGTAGAATTCATGTATTCACTGACTACCCATCCATGAAATGTAGGTTATATAAATTCATAATTTTATATGCATAAAACAAAGAACAATGAATGGGCAAACAACATCCAGTTTAACAGGAATGGAAGTAAAGTTGAGCCTAAAATGGAGGGGAAATAGGAGGTCTGGGCTTTGAGACAACCATACCATACCCCAAAAGAGCAGCAGGTTTTCAGCCCTGAATATTATTATTTTAGTCCTCTTTGACAATCAGGATAGATTCGAGTTCCACTAATAATTTATTTCCACATATTTTGCCATTGATCTAAGCCAGGAACTAGGGTATTATTTTTAAAGCGTCTCTGAAAGCTACAGTGAAATGGCTGCTTGACTATTTAACAACAAAACAGCTTTGCCTCTGAAATATCTGAGAGTGCTTTTCTAATAGCTCCCCCACAGGGGAACGTAATCAATATTTAGCTCAGGAATCCTGTCTTGCATGTATGTCAGCCTCTATGGCTTCTGCAACTATCAAGACATGTAACATATGATGGGACTTGCTGTTAAACGATTTTTATTTGGGGGCAATGGGGAGGAATATTTCACAGAACAGCCTTGCCTGTGGGAAGATGACACGGTTAAGCACAGACAGGATCTCCGATGCTCCTATGTTTTGGCTCCTATTGAGCTCTTGATAAAATCAACACGAGCAGCAGGCATAACCATAGGTTTATACAGGCCTGGTTTTCCAAGAACAGGCCTGTCGATTGCTGCATAATCTACATCGGTGTTCGCCTGCAAAACTAGCACTTCCTTAAACTGAGCCCTCCACGCTCACCGATGTACTCAGGGCTAAAGGAATCCCCCGCCCTCGTGGTGAGGGCCAGAGGCAGGTTTCACACTGGGGGCGTCCGAGTTCTTGGCGGAGTTCGCGTTTCCCTCCTTGCTGCAGCTGCTGGAGAATTCCCCTTACTCCTCCCCTCCTATTGGGCTCGTCCTAGCCTCTTAGGCCTTGTTTACAAATATCCCACCACTAACCCCACACTAACGAAGGAAGCGTTTGGGATCCAGTGTAACTGGCTCCAGACCCAAAGCAAGCTCCTCCCCTCCCCCAAATCCCAACATTACTATTAAATGCACAGAGGGAAAGTCTTTTTCGTGCTGTTGTCTCCCCCCTCCCTCTTTACAGTGATCTCCGGTGCAACTGTTTCTCTTTGCTCTTCTCCAGAGGCTCTGCTCCTGGAAAGCACTAGCCCATGCCCCTTTGCTTTGAGAACCCCAGCGAAGACGGAAAAGAGGCGATCCTGTAGATGAGCTCCTGACCCCTACCACACGAGGAGTAACAAACTCCAGTGCTTCAGACGGGGTGGGAATCGCGCCTGCCCCGCATATGATCAATTCCTGCACTTTCCTCTCCTCGACAGCACCCAGTGTAGTATTAATTGTATGCACCCCTTTCTCTGCAAATTCCCCTCCCCCATTTAACTGCATGCCCTTTCTTCTCTCCCCCGCCCCCATTAAAACTGCCTGTCGGGTAACGTTAATTGCATGTGCTTGGCTGCAGATCTGTCTCCCGTTAATTGCACACACCTCGCCCCGCAGCTGGTTGCACGGAGGAGCGCGGTGCGCGCACAGACGGATGCCTCGGCCTAGCTCGCAGAGGTAGGGGTGGGGCGCTCTTACCTCCAGGGGTGGTGGAAAACAGGGTCCCGCCGGGCGTGGTGCAATAGTCATGAGGTAGCTGCGTGGCGTCGCTGATGGGCACCGTCCTGGTGGGGATGGCCCGGCTCTGGCTGTGCTGGTGGCCGCCGGAGGAGGACATCTCCCTGCGCTATTGTCCCGGCTGCTGGGGGAGGTAGGTGGCTGGGGGGAGGGAAGGGGCAGAGACGCTGAAGGAGGAGGTGGTGGGGGCGGCGCTGGACTCACTGGGGTGGGCGGGCAGCAGCTGCCTCGCTTCTCCCGCTCCGCGGCGTTTTCTCTCCGTCCACCGCCTCCACCGCCACCTTCTCCCTCGGCCTCCGCCAGCAGCAGGAAACCCGGGGGCCGACGGCCGAGAAGGGAGGGGGAGGCGGGGACAGGCGGCGGGACTTGCGGGGAGGAGCAGCCCAGGAGGCGGGAGCGACGGTGGCCTGTGGCAGCTGCTGCTACGCGAGCTGCTGGGACCGCTCCCGCTCCAGGCACGCGGCTCCAACGGGCCCTCCCGGCGCTTCTGCCACCCGCGCCTCGGGGCCCGCGGGGAGGCGACTCCCCTGGCGGAGAGGCCGCGCGAGCGGGGACTAGGCCCTTGCGCGGGTCCCTTGGGCCAGGCTGGCCGGAGAGCCACCCAGGGTGCTGGACACGCGCTGGGGACACACGTGCGTTCAGTGCCCGTATGCCTGGCGCCCAGACCCGCGGGCGGGCTCGGTGCGCACGTGGCCGGGGTGCCGCCGTGCCCGGGAGCGCGCGCTTGCACTTAGTGACCAGTAGATTCGGAAAGGTGCCGAAAAGGCCGCACCGGCACTCGGCAGAGTTGCCAGCACGCGCAGCCGCGGCGCCCACGAGTTTCCCAGCTACGTTTCTGACATGAAAAAACTTACAGCAAATAGTCCAGTAGCATCAGGGTGTGTGTCTAGACTACAGGGTTTTGTGGACAAAACTGAGGGTACGTCTAGACTACATGCCTCTGGCGACAGAGGCGTAGATGAGGCTACCAGGCATAGGAAAATGAAGCGGCGATTTAAATAATCGCCGCTTCATTTAAATTTACATGGCTCAGCGCAATAGTCTGGATGCGTGGGTGTCGACATCAAAGGTATTTGTCGACCACCCAGGTAAACCTCCTGGGATGAGGTTTATCTGGGTGGTTGACAAATGCCTTTGATGTCGACACCCGCGCGTCCAGACTACAGCGCTGAGCGGACAAACAGCTGATCAGCTATTTGTCAGCTCAGCGCGGCAGCCCTGGAAATTTTAATG